CCGGCACTGGACCCTGCGCACCGCAGCGGCCGCAGAGCTCAGAGCGCCGCAGCTCCGCAGGTGCAGATCCTCCCGCAGCCGCTTCCTGCAGGGCTGCACGTTCTGCTGGCAACTTGTAATGACCTGGAAAARAGGCAGTGGAGAAGGAAGAAAAAGGGGAAAACAGGGTAAGAAAGGTTCCCATTTAAAAGTTCAGTTTTWGCATAATCTTTCATTGAAGCTGTTTAACACTGAAACTTTTCTGTAGGAGATGCAGCCCTCCAGAATCCCTCCCCCTTCTGCCCTTCCAGCTGCTCAGGGCTCAGGACTGGCACCTGGAAAGCACAGGCAGGCTTTCTATCTGAACTGTCGTGTAAAATACACTGCTGCCCAATAAATACAAATTATTTCTTATTAAAGCCATGTTACCATAGAAGAGCTTTTATAGGAATTGTCTATTAAACTGTAAAAACATTTAAATAAGGTATTTGTCTATGGAAGTTGGACATATCTTCAGAACATCAATGGGTTACCTGGTCTATGATATTGGCACTGAAGATGGCTTCTTCCATGTGTCTCTCATCAGATTTAATGACTGACCGTATGCTGTTCACTACGTGACGWACTTCTGGAGGGAGATTACAGTTTGAATGTTCCAAAAACTTTGCCACTAAAATTTTAGTGTCTTTATAGGCCTTAAGGTCCACTAAGGAGTGTGGCCGCTCTTTTGAGACTCTGTGAAAAGCCTTTGGCTTTAGGTGCAGGTCAATTCTCCTTGTATCCCTCTGTTTTCCACTGCTCAAAGAGTGCTGGCAAGCAGAGGCAGCCATATGAGAACCAGAAACAGGAACTAAAAAAGGGGGGGAAGAATATCTTTAAAGTAATAGTTTAAAAAAGGAAAAAGAGAAAAGAAAAAAAAAAGGCAAAACAAATATTGTCACAAAGTTTTTACTTTGTCATAAAATGCCTGTTTTGTCTGAAGAACAGCAAAAACATGCAGTCAAGGAAACACTACAAAATGGGTAATTTAAACCAGGATCAGGAGTAATTAAGTCTTTCCCATGACCAAGGAGGACTGCCTTGAGAATGAGTGGGTGGGTAATTCWAGTACTTCACAAATCAGACATTTTTGTACCTCCACCTTCAAGGACTTCAGTGGACATTAAGGATAAGCAAAACCACCAGCTACTCTGTGTTACRTGTAACCTGTAAAATTTTAGGCCCAGCCGCTCCCCTCAACTTTATGACTAAAGTTCTGCTTATTTCTAGGCTTTGTTAATTATATGCAAGAGAGATYAGTGAGAAACATAGAGAGCAAAAATGCTGATCTAAAGCAGAGGACTTAATTCCCAGCATTTATTTTCATTCAAGGCAGGTTCCATCAGCATTGTACACCATACATGACTGCTGTTAACTAAGTGGCTTTTCTGACCCCAGATTTTTTAAAGCTCATTTCACTATCAGAAGCTTTTCATTATTTTTAAAAGAAAAGAAGGAAACTAATCTCCTGCTTTAGAAAACCAATTCTCACCTGTTTCTGCTGTAGCTGGAGATAATCCTGCATCTTGGCACTGGCTGCACACAGGAGTCCAGGTACAATTATCACCTTTAACCAAAGGGAGACAGAAAGAGCAAAGTCAACCCCTGCTGTCCTCTGCTCAAAGCAAGGAAAAATACACTGGAATCTTTTATTATCTGCTTTAAAAAATGAAACTGCTCAGAAGAAATACTGCTTTCAAGATGTCCATTCATAAAGAGAAGCTACTATACATAGAAATGTCCTAGGAGTTGTTACACAGATACAAACAGGAAGACAGAGCTCCTGTTTGATGGTTTCCTCTGTAATCCTAAATATTTCAAGCCTAAGAGCTRAAGGATGTAAAGCTCTCTATAGAAGCAGACCTCAGACTTTTCTCTGCATTGCCTGGGTGAACAGAGTTTATAATGGGCAGTGGGAAAACCAAGAAAGATTAATCTCTCTCATTTCTACAAAACCAGCATTTTATTTGATATTTCTACCTCCTTTTTTAATGTAATCTCATTATTTTCAGTAGAAATATAATACACCACTGTTTAAATTATTGGGTAGGTCAGCATGATGGTASCTGATGAGCCAATCAGTAGCAAGTGGATATGAAGCACCTACAAACAGCTTTGGACACAACTGCCATGTAATGACAGTTTCTGGGAGTCCAGCACAAGGATCAGTGAAGATGAGATCACACTGGACAGTAACTACCACTGCAGCTGTTTTTCCTTTGTGACAAGATGGAATAAATCCTCACATTTGGCTGTTTACATCTGTTCCAAAGATTGAAAGTTGTTYTGAACTTCTAGGTAGCTTAGGAGGTCCTCTTCCATATCTCCAGGGACAGTTTATAATGAAAAGCTGGCATAATTCTCTCTGGTAGAATGAATAATTAAATGAAGGAAATAAACATAAGACGCTACAAACACAGAAAATCTGTAAGAAATTAAGAGAGACAGCTTCTATTCTGTCTTTAATTTGCTCTATTATGCTGAAGTACTGCAGCACATGAATCACAGCATGGTTATTAAGAAGAGACACTTCAGAGGTTCTGTCTTCCCATCCATTACTAAACTGTGTAATGTACTTGCAGCAAGTCAAAACTACACCACTGGACATGACCCTGAATTATCTGGAACATTAACACTACAATAATCACTCAGGCACTTAAATGATAGAGCCACAAAGTCTATCATAGCTGATTAGAAATGAAGTTTATTGTAATAAACATGTGCTAGAAGTTGATTTTGTCTGCCTTTGCCATGATAAACTTTACAGGGAAAAGACAAAAAAAAAAGTGCACACTATTTACTTTGAAGTAATTCTTTTAAAGGAGGGAACTGTGTCTGACAGCAGTGTGCGACCCCACCATTTTTATTATGTGCATGGAGTACCCAGTGACTACAAAGGCACCTATAAAATTAAACCTTGATTTATAATTTCTCCACTAGGAATGACAGCCATTTCAAAACAAATACGTTCACTTTCAGCATTAAAGGTTTAATGGGAGAATTATTTGACTCTACCATGCAGACCCCATCAGGTCAAGATGTGCTTGAAGCACATGAATTGTGTTTTACTGGCCTAAAGAATTTATCAGATCTCATTGCTGTTGTGTTAGTTTTCTGGTGCACATATGGAACATCCCCATGTCAAATATTTTATGTTCCAAACTACAGGCAGAGCAATCACAGTAACATTCAAAACCCATTCACAAAAATCTACACAGTAAATGTCAAGGTTGTGCTTCTAAATCTCTTCACATTGCCTTGTACTGAGAGGTGAGTCAGAAGAGAAACTGGTAGCTTTTCCTTAAGGTAGAAAGACAATGTCTTCAGACAAAGCCAAGCCAAGCCACAATCTGATTACTGTATGTTCCCTTCCATCAATGTGGCTAAACCTCCTCCAGCCTCAGTACTCCAAAATCCACAACTATAAATATTAACAATATGTAGTTACAGCTCTGTCATATTGTCAAGTCTACTTGACCAGTTCTTTTACTCCAGGACAATTTTAAAAAGCAGATATGTTACTGAAAAAACCCAAAGCCCTTTTTCTTCTCTGTTGATTGAGGGAGCTCAGTTGGTTCCCTTTATCTTTGCCTATTATTCAACTCTGTGGATATAATTGAAAATTCTGCAGTGAATATCAACAGTCAGTCATGAAAAATCCAGATCAAATGCCTTTTTAAAGTTACAAAGACTGAAAAGAACTTCAGCTGTTTGTCACAGCTTAGGAAAAACATGCTTCAGGGCTGCTACAACAGCTAGAACGTGTTACTAGAATTGGGCTGCTTCTAACCTACGGATGATTTTCAAACTAGGTTCAATAAAAAGCAGAGGGAGGTGATGCAATGTAAACCTTCACAGATTAAAATTTTGCAAAACATATGCGTGAAAGAAATATATCTAGACTCAACTAGAGACTCAACTCAAGGATTTCATKATGAAGACTCTTCTATAGGCAGCAAAAAAAGGCAGAGTAGGTCAGCACCCAGCCCCCCGAGTCACTTTTCCTGCTCCCCCTCCCGTGTGAGTCAGTATTTCTGGAACCTTCTCTGCCTCTTTATTCCTATCTTTGCTAAGCCCAGGTACATCTCACTAATGTCCACCTCGTGTCCCTCAATGCCACTTTTCCAGAAGAGATGATGAATGTRTTTAGGACACGTTAGAAAAGAAGGCAGAGCATTTGTTCCACCAGGTGTCCAGAGCCAGCCCACRGCAAACGCTGCTCAATGAGCATTTGGAGCACAGCTCTGGAAAGCTGCAGAGCCTGATCCAGAAGAGAAAGGACTGTCCTTCTTGTTTTTTGCACAGCGGAAAGGATTCAGAAATTCCTACTTACTTGAAGCATGGCAGCTTCACAGCACATATGTCCTAGCAGAGTAAATGTCAKAAAATAAATGCAGACTTCTAGATTAAAGATTCACTTTTCCTAGCCCAGACACAGAAGCTAYTTTTCTAAAGGTAAAAGACATTCAATTATTGAGCTATAAGGTGTCTGAAATTCAGAGTAAAGATGCAAGAAGTGCAATAGAACCAACACATCCTAAACGAAACCAATTATTTCAAGGTTTTGTCTCCTTTTGCACTGAGCCAGTCACACGATTATTCCTCTGGATCCCTTACAAAGCCCAGTGAACAGATCTCATAGTAGCACAATCCATGACATCTTAAAAAGCTTTTAATCTTTACTTTCAAGCCACTCCTCTGGATTACCCTTCTGAATCTTTCTGAACAGCTTAGATCCTTTTGTAAAACCTCCCTTTTCAAATGGAATAGATAGTTCTACATTCCTCCTATTATCCTCTATTACAGCAACCCCTTCTTTTTCACTAACAAGCAGATTTTTATGAAGATACACAGTTCAGCTAACCTCTCCTCATCTTCCTTACTTTTTTTAARGGAGATTCACAGCAGAAGACACTTATCCAAGACAGCCAAAAGCTTTCTTTTCCATTTATCATCTTGTCATATGCCTCATGTCCCTTTCTTTGTCCTTCAAAACTTTTCACCACACACCCCGAGTTGCCACCAGTCACAGTGAGTGCCTCTGACATGCCCCAATACTGTCAATGTCAGTGTCACCTTGAGGAAACACAACCTGCTGAACAACAAGCGTGACAGTTCCAGTAATGGTTTCCTAAATAAACCCCAGCTACCATTGCACTTCCTAGTTTAACCTCTCRGTAGAACAGTAATAGAGAGGTGGAAACAACCACTCAAGGTACCGTTTTCTGAGCAGTGCAGAATGAATGGTAAAATTTAGAAAAGCCAAAATTAATTTCATTGTCAATTTTCCCATTTCCATTCTAAAAAAATTTCAAATTTAGAAAATATGCAYAAAGCTGAACCCTTCACAGTAAGACAAACCACTTTGGAATGCTGCATACATCAGTGTTACTGATTTGTTGCACATTTGCTGCCCTGTGGTCCCACACCTACCTTCAGTGGCAGATGAACAGGACACAGGGGCACTGCTGGAGCGGACAATGTTTGAGCCTGGCTGTTTGGGACTGTGCTGCTGAGGGACAGCAGCCTCGTGGCCACCTGCACACCATGAAATATTTGCAGGCCCAAAACAGGGAGAGGTCTGGAAAGGGGCAGGAGGCTGGCTRAAGTCCACACAGCAGGTTTGCTTTTGCTTCAAAGGCAGCGTGGCACTGCTCTCCTGAGCAGAACTCTGCAGTTCTCTTTCTGAGGGGCTGTAATTCCCTGAGGAACAGTCCAAGGACCTGCCATGGGCACAGTTCTTTTCCTGTCCTTGAGACTTCTCTGTAGAGGCTCGGCTGTGGGAACTGTCCCCCTCATCAGGAAAGCCCTCTGAGCGAGTTCTGTGAAACCTGCAGTGACAGTGGCAATCCAGGGTGCTGCAGCTCTGCTCTGCAGCCCCTTTGGGGGTCACACAGTAGGGAGAAAGGTCTGCAGAGTGGAGAGATCCTTGAACTTCCAGTGAACAAAGATCTTCAGAGGAGTAGCTACGGTCTGGGATATCAACAGCCTCAGAGACCATCAAAGAGGTGCTCTCAACKGAAACTGCAAAACAAAAGATTCGGAGAAAAATTAAAACTTCTTGATCCCCTCCCCATGGTCTGTATACTGATTTAAATTTAGTAATCTGCAAGTATATCAATAATTACTCAAAAGCACTCAGATGACAATGCCAAAGCAAAACCCACTGAACTTATTTCCTTCTTTCCATTGTCCCTCAGCAAAGACATTTTTGTGCTGTTCCTGATACTGACTTTTCAGCTTTAAATGAGCAGGCTCTGTACTGCTACTCCCCTACTTGCATTCCCCACATCTGTGCTTCAGGCAGCAAGCTTCCTATTCAGGCTCCTGGAAGCCATGCAGGAAACCTCTCTTTAGCCAGGGAGTGTGGGGACTGTCAGGAAGCCACCCATGGCTGCTGACAATGAGAAAACAGCTGCAAGGTGTGTGCAGGACTCTTCACAGAGAAACGATGGTTGCCAGATCCACCTCAAAAGGTTTTACAGAGCTTACTTTGTCTAGCAAAACTCTCCTCTGCAYTTCCAGCCACACCTCTCACTGAAAAAGGTTCTTCTTACCATGAATAACTTGAAAGCAAATGTTTCTTTCTCCATTAGGAAGTGCAGAAGAGAAAGAAAGTCCACTCAAAACTGCTATTCCATCTTTAAGAAGAYAAATGCAAAGCCACAATCACCTTGTGTGCTGAAGTCTGGGGTCGTGTTCCTCTCCCCCAGGCTCGATTCAGACACTTGCTGAGCAGCACCAGTGACCTAAATGAACATTTGGAATGAAAGAGCTCATTAACCTGCAATTTATCAACACAAAATGTAGTGCTCAGGATCTAAAGGACACACCTGACAATGCAGAGTAACTTTCATATGAGCTGCTATTCAGATTGAAAGCTATTTAAACAGTATTTTACAACATCGTCAGTCAGGAGCAAATGCGGGGCAAAGGAATGTGCTTAATGCAGTTTTTCATTTTTCCACAATCTACAAGGTAAATTCATCTTGAATTCACAGCACTTGGGACTGCAGGCTCGCATTACTAAGCTTAATGCCTGCAATGCTTAAAACCAATGGTGTTAGCACAAGCAATCTCTATTTCTACAGTGTGYGTTTATCTATATTACAATTCTTTTTTTTTTTCTGTTCACCAGATCCTATCACCCAAAAATAGAGAGAAAACCAGAAACCACAAAAACAAGAACATGAGCAATCCTTTGCTTTGCGAACATCCTTTGTGAGGATGTTCACACCTACTGTATTTTAAAGCCTGGTAACATCACTGCCAGCCAGGTGCTCTCCCTCCTGCTGGAGATTGCTGAATGGTCACAGTATTAGCACACACCTTTTTWCTGAAGGGGTGGTTCTAAGTGGGCAACTTCACTTTTGAGAATCATATGAACAAAATATACAATCATTCCTGCTGGAAAGACTGGATCCCTGAACACCTGAAGTTTAGGAAATTTTCTTTCTACTGCATTGAATAGACTTTGGATTGGCCCCTGTCACCAACATCAATAGATTTTTAGCAGTTCTATGGGAATGTGATTATTAAAAAAATTATTCCATGGAATAGCTGGTAACAATAAATGAAAAGAATATAAAGAAGGTTGAAAGGAATGAGACTGATACCATCTTGAGCAGAAAGCATCATATCTACTTTGTTCTGTAGGGCCACAACTGACTAGTAGAGCTGAATATGGTTGGTGGCAGTCTAGAAAGCAGCATCAGTCATCTCAGTGTAAACCTTTTTGTCAAGTGCATAATCTGTTTGGCCTTCTAAAAAATTGGATGTGACACAGTCTGATGTTATTAGGGAGAGAGCTTCCATTTCACATGCCAGGGTACATTAAAGCACACGTGGATGTGCATAACTTACTGTGCTCACTGTTTTATTTTTTTGTATCTATCTATTCACAGCTTACTATGATCACATGCCCACGGAACTTTTCCTGATTCAAATTTAGTTTTTAAAAAACATTTTAAGTGTTAGCAAATACAACTCCAAACAAAGCCCAGTACCAGAAATACTTTAACTCATCAAGAGAGGAATAGAAGCCTGGGAATCAAAAGTGAAATCGCYCATATTTTTAAACAATTCCCTTGGAAATTTCTTAATGGATCTTTCTTTATGGTAGCACAGCATCACATCTGTGGAAGAAGTAAAATGMTGTGTCACACTAAGTGCTGCACTAAGTCACAGATTGTTCCTGGGATCTAACTGTGGAAGTTCTGGGAACTAACTAGAAGAGTAAGAAATGTTCTCAAATACTCTTTGTTGTAGAAAATTCAGACTGACTACATTTTGGAAGAAATAGTGAAATGTTTTAAGGGTGTTTGTTTCTTTATAAGGGTCCAGGGATTCTAAGGGCTTTCGTAAATTCTTAATCTAGGTGCTTGCATAATCACCAACTTAATTTCTTAATCACTGACTGGAAAAYATCTGATGAACATTTGTGCTGAAACATTTATTGACACTCTACATTGTCTCTGAATAATTGCTGAATGTATTTTATAGCAATTGGAATTGATTAACCTTCTTGCTTGAGGGAAGGAGAACCAGGGTTTTAATTGYAGGAGGTAACACTGACAATTTTGAAGCCAGGTCAGAGTTTTGGTTCACACAGGGACAGCACATGCAAGTTCCTGCACAGCCAAGGGGAACAAAACCTTATTGACTTCCACATCCTCACAGTCACTAAGCTATCAGCAGGAAAAAGAAATAAAACCTGTGCTTTTAACAAACCTGCACAGCCCACAGTTTAGAAGAYCTTATAAAAAACAGTCATTTATTTAGTACACCCAGAATGCTGATCTGTTTGTTCTTGCCTTTTCTATATTCCCAGTCAATACTTTGCATGGAAAACAGTGTGAAAACCACTTTTCTTATAGCCATGAACTAGGAATTCCTAATCAGTACAGATGATAACAGAAATTTTTACATGGATGCAACCACTTAAACTAGCACTGACATTTGTTGCCCATAAAATGCATGAAATATCGAGTCTAATTTGATACAATTTAATAAAATTCTAAGGACCTCAATCCATTTAAAAACAAATAAAACCTATTGCTTGATGCTCAGTAAAAGGTTTTACAATTATGACATTATTACATAATGGTTCCCAGAAGCACTTTTGTAGCTAAATCCCTGCCATGATTTCCATTGCCAAGCCTGCCTTTGAGGGATTTATAAATCTCATTATTTCAGTTCATACTGTACTGTGCTCTATGGGGGCATTTGCATCATGTAAAAAACTCAGGTCTCCATTTTGATTTTCTTGTAGACTCAGAACTGCCTCAGACTTTGGCTCAGTTCTCCATTTACAGCTCAACAMAGACACTAATTGCAAAAAATACATGAAGGCTTTTGCTGTCAAGGAAAGTCTGTGGCTGCAGTGTCACCGCAGGCTTTGGTTATCCCTGCAGTGAGCTTCAGTGCTGATACACAGAGCCTGTTACAAACCCTCTGAACAGCAACCACCAGGCTGGGAGACAGAAACTCACTGCAGTTAAGGAGCTAGATACAATCACCACCATCAGAAACTAAAAGGCACCACTCATTTCCACCTGGGATTAGAAGAAGCAGCTCTGGAACTCAGGCTGCCAGAGGTGACCAGGCCAGGTGAAGACACTGACCCCAGATATCCAAAGTTAACAGCAAATCCATCTACTCATTAAAGCCAGGCTCTTGCAAAAGCAGGACTTTGCATTTTTAAGTCACATCTTGTTAAATTACATTTTTGTGCCATGCTGGTGCTGTTGTGCTGCTGCACGTTGATAWCATACCAAGAGTAGTCCCAATTACMAGAGAGCTCAAAATGATTTTGTGCTTTACTAAAAATAGACGTTTGACTAATCCTTACTYAGTACCACATATGAATTCTTCTCACAGACAGGAGCCTTCTCTTTGCCCCCAAACCATGTGTGATTCATATCACTTTTGCCCATGCTTTTTATAACTGGAAAATATCTCCAGGCTCCAAGGCTTGCAGGTTCATCTGARTTACTGCAAAGGAAAAAGGATGGAACTTGGATAAAAAATATTCTAGAAGGAGATGGCCTTGAAAACTCCAATTTTGCTGTTCAGCAAGGAACTTCACTCACAAGCAGTTTATACTGATTCATTTTATTATAGCCAAATAAATCAAAAGTAATGCAATRTTTGGCCTGTTTGCTGTGTCAGGTGGAGGGTATACTACTAGGCAAGGATTAGAAAAGCTGTCAGAAGCTGCTTTGTCAGTCACAGAAACTGCAAAGTTAGGCATATCTTGGACAGATTTAATTGCATTTTTTTTGAGGTTTTGCATTTCAAAGTTCTTTTTTCTGACACTTGYCTTATTAATTATCTTAATAATCTTCTTGTGTATAATAGCAAAAATTTGTAAAATTTCTTTAAGTTTGTGGCTTCAATTCTCATTTCCCCCAATGTGAAAAAAAGTCATAGGAAACATTTCAATGATGTATTTTGGGGRAAGGTGAAGTGGCCCCCTCTGCAGGGGTGGGTGCAATTTGAACACACGTATTTCCACAGTGTGCTATTAACAACTGATAGACAATACYGAGAATGTTTAACTCTTGGAGTTTGCACTGAAGCCTACAAGAAATCAGAGCCTCCAAAAGCAGTTTTAAATATTTTTCCTCTGTGACAGATGATTCAATTACCACGAATCCCTTCAAGCAAATTAGCTCAAATTAGCTTTGGCTATACATGCAGATACATTATAATTCCAGATGCAGCTGATACTGTACAGTATGGAATAAGGCAAAAAGTGTAATATAAATATTTGTCTCAAGTACAYTGGAGCCTTACTGCAAGTTCAGGATAAGGGTGTTCTGCACTCAGTTTCTTGCCATGTAACAGCAGAAGTTGATTACTAAAAACTGTAACAATCAGAAGGTTAAGCAATAGAGAACTACTCACTGTTATTTCAGAAGAGGTAAAATTTGTTAGTTAAGCCCTTATAAAGAAAGTGGTCTGGAAAATGTTTTTAAAGACTAAAAATATTTTCTAGTGGTTATTCCTCAAATTTTGATCTAGAATTGTTTTGCACCACTTACATTTGAAGACTTCATATGGAATTTTCTTTGGCTTTCCTTACCTGRCTGGCAGGCATCTCTCCAATCACTGCCTCGTAAGGAGGGGGCAGCTCACTTGGATACAGCATTCCTGGGCTATTAATGGTTACTTCATACAAAGCACCAAATGGGGAATGAGGGAAGTCCAAATGGAGACCTCTATATAAAAACATAAACAAACCAACAATTAAGAAATGGCACTGGATTTATTACCTGCAGCACAGTGATGTAAAGCCTTCTTTGAATTCAAAGCCAATACACTACGAAGAATTACATTCAAGAAATTTATCAGAAATCCAAAATGAAGCCTTAATTCACAGGGTAACTTTAACAACTGCTTTTTGTTTAGGATGCCAGCCATCTTTACTGGCCTGTTTTGCCACCATTAATGTCCTTCATTACTCCATTACTCCATTGCATATAAATTGCAATGATTTCCATAAAAAATTAAATCTCATACTCAATTTCAAATGTATAAAGAYAACAGCTGTGAAAGGATCCCTTATAAAGGGATTAAGTTCAAATATTGTATCCTCTTAGCTAAGTTCAATCATTTCTCTATTGCAGCAGTGCTTTAACACAAATATTTCCAGATACAGCTCAACAAGTTTGCAAAAAAACTGGATGTAATTTCTCTGGAAAAGAAGAGCCTAATGTAAGGGAAGGACATTATTTGGCTYAGAGCACAGCTCAGAAGGGATGCTGAGGGAAGGAGAATCACCTCTGTGCCTCCACCACGGGGGTGCAGGTGTATTCTGGTGGGTAGTAGGGTGGGGGTGGGATTGGTGGGATGAACTCATCAAAATCCAGCGTTTGGTGCAGGACAGTTCCATGTGGAGTCATGCAGTCAGGATTGGCAGAATGTGGCCTCTGTGGCAGAAACTGAAAATGAACAGGTAAAGTTCCCTCAGATGGTAGAAACACCACCACCACACAACTTATTAACAAGTTTAATAAAAGGTCAATATCAGCAAGCCTGACCAATATCAAATTCATTAATATCCAAACAGAAATGAAAAAGRCTCTTCTGGGAGCATAAGAATACTTGTGAACAGTGAGGAGGGTGAGTCAGATTGCCAAAATACAACACAAGGTTTTACTACAGACAGAGAGGCTGTAGGCCTCCAAGTCAGTCACTCTGAGGATGCAGGACACAGATATGTAAAATTAAATGGCTTTTCAGGAAACATTTCTACATTGTATATTGTTTTATTATAGCCCCACGTTATCAGCTGCATTTTAATAACCAATGAACAATAGATATAACTACTGAAAAAACTATTTGCATGTTTTTGTTTCCAATCTGAACTACCTTACACTTACAGAGGAAAAAAGCCCAATGCCAACCCCCAAACCACCCTCAAATAAAACTAACTAGAAGCAGGCCACTACGCAGTCATTAAGTTTTGAATAAAACAATTGCAAATATCCCACCCATTTTTCACTTCCAATGATTGGGCCATTTATAACTATTCTTTATTATTCTTGTAAAATAAAATATTCTTAATAGCTGTTTGTGGTTTGGTGATACAGACTGCACATCTCAATGTGGTGTAAAGGTAATAAGTACTGGTACAAAAGCAAGAAAAACACTTATTCCATATGCACATCTCAAAACCCCAAAGAAAATAACTCCACTGCACAATAAAAAGTAACACTGAGAACTACATCAACATTTGCGACAGGAATCTCAACAGCTTCTGTCAGAGCAGGGATTTAAAGCAGCCATTCCAAAGCACTGATWTCACAAACACTAATAAGTGTTCTGGGAAAGGCCTAAAGTCATTCAAGATCAAATGGGGACCATCCTGCAGATCCCACAGCCCAGACCTGGCACTTCATCGTCCCCATGGATAACAGGGGACTAAAAGACATTCCAAAACCACAGAATTTTTTTCTTCTCCAGGCAAGCTCYTGCTGTCAAATCACTTTTCTTGGATCAGTAGAAGACTTGAGCTTTAGCTCCTGCCTTTTAAAACAAGTCAGATAAGAAACTGCTGAAAGCACATTTCTTTTTCATAGTGAAACATGSCAACGTATGTTTTTGTAGTGTTGGCTTATTACATTATTGTTTGTTTAAATCCATAATAAAGATTTGGGAAGTAGTAAAATAAAAGGACAAATGTTTATGCTTAGGAGATTCAACAAATAGAAAGTAAATTACCTTTATTTTTCACCTTTTCAAATGTAGCTTGGTGTAGTTCTGCTGAATTTACCACAGAACTGATACTGGTCTTTGGTGTTTTAAAGCTTGAGTTACACATTAGTTCTATTAAACTCACTCCATGTGTATTATTCCAAAGGCCAGAGCTATAACAATACAGCACAACAAAGGGTCAGGAGACCAGTAGCAACTGTTTGTGAAAATGAACTATCAGCTGCTCACTGATGGGCTCCCCAGAGGTATTTCCACACATAACTATTAATAAAGAACCTCCCCTGCAGAATGTGTTATTTTATTATATCTTACAGCCAATCAAGGACTTCCAGCCAATGTGTTCTACTCATGGTACATTATAGAAAAAAAAAGATATAGCATCTGCTTGATTTACTGTTCATTATGGGGAATGTCTGATGCTCTTTCATCCTCCACATGAGGTGGGATGCTGTTATCCCAAATACTATCAGACATTTCTCTGCTTGGCTTACAGAAGAAAAAATACTTTCTTGCAGTCATTTGGTCTAAAGTCATCTGATCTTTCAACAGGCATTTCCCAAACTGGAACATTACATTAACATTAACCATAAAACTCCAAATTTCTGCCCTAAGCAATGAAATCATCAGCAATCGTCAGTCTGCTACCATCTCAAATACATGGAAAGATCTGGAAAAAAGGAAGCAAGACAAACTTCAACACAATTACCCAAAAGCTGTAAACATTTACCATAGTGGAGACAAACATCTGAATACTCTGGGTCACATTTTATCTACTATTTGATTCCACCAAACTCAGGACTGCACTCATTTTCCTAAAAGAGTTGATAATTTAGGTAATTTTTAGAGTCTGAAAACAAAGCAGTTTTAATTTACAATTTCTTTGGCCTTCTCCCAAGCTGTTTCCATATAGTGCCGCAGCCCCCGGGTTTTGGTTTGCACCAGAGAACTTTTAGCTCCATTCCTTCAGTTGTGGAGTTCCCTGGAGCTGGATCCACTCAGCCACACTGGGGTGATGCTCTCAGCAGGGTCAGAACAGGGCAGGTAAACACACGGCACTTTGACAGCAAGAGAACCATCAGCACACATTGTGTGGGACAGGACAGAAGGGACAGGTTTGACACAGGGCACATGGGGCTGTGGCTCCAGAAGGAGAAGGCCCARTATTTGGATGCAGCTCAGCTGAAGAGCAGAATTACCCACATCCCTTTCAAGAACCGGGAATACAAACCATGGCAACAAACCGTGACCAACACTTGACAACGAGCAGCAGAATGGAGATGAGAACGCACATGTTTGGGGGGTTTATAAACAACGGTTTACCTGTGTGATATCATCCTGCTGGAAGGCACAAAAAATTAAAGTGAAAAAGGCTGTAAGAGGGAAACTAGCAGGAAATGAAACAATAGCAAATATAAGGGATTACCACAAAGAACAGACATCCTTGAGAAAACAACTGRAAGCTACTAAGTGGGAATTAAGTCACATTTTATTCCACACTACGCTATCTACTGATCTCTGCTAGCTTGCAAAAGCTTATTATTTCTAAAGGAAAATGTATTTTAAAAATCTTCAGGASTTAATTTCAAGTAGTGAAGTCTGGCAGGGTTTCAGCAAAGGCTTAATACAAATTTCATAGGTTAAAAAAGACAGTAATAAAATGCAAACAGCTGAGAAATAGGTGAAGAAACACTGACACAGAAACACACATTTATGGTATTAGAAGATAGCTGTTATCAAATAATCAGCCTCAGGATGCTGGTGGCAARTAGGACAGGCAACAAGAACTGCCAGGCAAAAAATGGGGGTGGCCTTAGGTCACCAGGACAAACAAGATCAAGTCACACTCGATGTCATTTCAGAAACTACAGCTCACACTATGGAACAACTCACATGGGGGCCTCCCAGCCAGCCTTGGGATTAAACTAAAGAGCACTGCAGAAGCAACGGATAGAAAATGGTTGCAGACAAAGATAAACAGCATGTAGCATCACTGGTAAATTCTAAATACACAACTGCATTAAAAGCTTAGTGAAAGTTTATGGCTATCAATAGATACTTCAAACATATTTACTAGAAATAAAGAGAAACCCATGGCTCTGGAAATCCAAAAGGCTCAACTRTTTCTGTTGCAATCCTGGAGCTTCTGGATGCTGGAAGCTTTCARCAATCTGACTGGCAATGAAATACATATGTAGAATTYACAGTCTTCTTTTAGGAAAAAAAWAACTTCATGTTTGAAGCTTGGCATTCAAATTATTACACTCATACAGGTGTTTCCTCATCCCTGACCTTACTTTAATGTGTAAAACGTGTTTGATACCTAATGGGCATGGCACAGATCAGTGCATGTGCTAAAGGGATGTGCAACAACAGTGCATACAGAACTTGGTGTGCTGTCACTGGGAACATCTGACTTGGACAGAGTTGAACAGCCTGATTTAAACAGCCCTCACACCAAAGACTACTTGATTTTTTACTTTGTCTGCAGTTATGAGGGAAGAATAAAACACTGCTGTTTTGTACCCACTCCTTGGACCTGCATTCCATACAGAAGTTTGCCATGGCAGCAGCAGCAAGCTGTTGGGAAGCAGAGAAATAGAAGCACAAATGCTAGAAATACCCCACTTCCAGAAGGGGCAAAAGTTTTTGAMAATGCAGTTATGTGCAAGGGTCCATTGCCACCAATGGGGCTGGACAGCAGTGACCTCCTGTGCAGCTCACAGCCTGCAGCCAGACAGGTCAGCCATCCCTGCCCAGTGCAGAATAACACAGCTCCTCTCTCAGGGTTTAACTTTCCCAGCTGAAATAAACACCATCACACAGATATGCATAAGATGGTAAAACTCATTCTCTTTTTGTCAGACCAAAGTTCCAGCTCTTCACTGAAAGATCATCTGAAAGTTGGTCACTGAAGTCATCYGAGTGATTAGAGGGTATTTGTATTCTGAATATTTTCAGTAGCCTGAGGTAAAAGCTGATGGAAGAGAAACAGTTAAGCAACTGAAGAAACAGCAAATAAAACTTGTCAATATAATTCTCTGTTGAAAGAGTTCCTCATGTGATACCCTGTGGTACATCCTTCTGCCCAAAGAGTGTGAGACTGAAAACACTGCATCAGTGTTCCCAGATACTGATGGGACCTCCCCATAAACATCAGCAAACACATCCTCTGGTCTGTGCATCCTGCAGCTGCTCAGCACTGCTGACCCCATGAGCACACCATGCTGGGAGTCACTGCTCAGCAATTAGGGCTTATCTGAACCACAAGGGCCATTCATCAGTATGTGACTGCAGCTCTAAGGGAAACTTATCAGGAGTTTTTCCCATATCTGCATGTAATTACCTCTGCCTCCCATATCACATTTACTAAATGTACTGTAAAACGTCAAAATCTGTCCTTTGGAGACTCCAGGGCTCATTATTCTCATTATTCTCATTTCAGTCATTTATAAAAATCTGCTAATTTTTGAGAATGGGAAATAAAAATTTCTAATTGCATGCAATTAAATATTGGCATATTATCTTGAGTAAAAGGTCTGTGCAATACACTCCAGTCTATAATTCTGTCTTCAATTAACTGTCCCTCCTGGACAGGTTGCTGTTTTCCTTTTCTGAAACACTGGAATCAGCATCAGCTGAAGGGAAATGTAGACTTTAATTAACAGCAAGAACAGAAGGACCATGGTTGGCTCTTTTAATTTATCTCTGATCTTAAAGGGAAACTGTAAGACCGAAAGTATTTTGATAAGGAAAACAGATTATTCTGTTCAGTTGTTTCCAGTTGCTATTCCCACAACCATCACAAGCCATTAGCTCTGTAGCCTCATGGGCATTGCTCTGTGATACCTTTTTTGAAGTACTGACCATATTTTATTCTTAAATATTCTACCAATAAAATGTTTAATGATACATTTGCTAAAAATGACAAGATTTCCTGCACCAAAAGTTYGCATTTGTCATGGGTGGGAGGACAGTATTTAAGCAACCACATATATATTTGGAATCTTTCTTTAGATGTATTTCATTCCCAATGCATATTTCTAAAGGTCTGTCATGGGTTTTACAGTACCTGTAAGTGAACTTTGCACCCAAAAAAGTAATATTTATGCTTTGATGTAATTAGATTAAATAATAAATGATCTGTAATAACGTAAGATCAATTCTTAAGCTTCACCCTGCAGGGTTTATTTATTACTATTCCATTGGTATATGGGGGTTAAACAATGCCAGCAAGATATCACTGTCATACAGAGATACATTATGTGAGGTGTTTGAGCAGAAATATTAACTGCAGCCTATTAAGATAATGACACGCTGAATTATCATTATGGCTGATGAAAACAGTAATTAAACGTTACAGCTTGCATGTGTCATCATTACCTTATTTTCTTTACAAAATAACAGATGGTTTTAGGTATCACATAACATGAACAGCTACTAACAGTGATGGTGATAAAATCACAACACACTCAATGCTATCAGTGCCAGCACTTGTAAGATAAGTACTGTACAAGCACATTTGGAGTGGAAGGAGGAGTGGAATAGGTGAACTTCACACTTTAGCTTGGCCATAGTGGGTGTCATTTCTTGTATTTCTTAGTTTAATCCAGGCAGCTACCTTTTGAAGAAAACAGGGTGCCTTTATGCAGTAGCCATTCATCAGACAAGACACAAACTGAAACCACCTCAGGCAACAGATGAAATATCACAGAAGTGACAGTTTGGTTATTAAGGGAGGTTTCTTCACATTACAGAGCCTTGATCTGATCTGATTTGATTCACATTTACCTCCTAGAGGGGTGTGTGCATAGAAAGAACAATTCTGGGAAGCCCTGTAATGGAGTGCAGCCTTAACTCTCTAGTGAAACACAACAAATCTTTTCAATCTTTAACTATGGCATCGCTTCTTTTGCAGCTTTAGTACAATTGGTAGGGTTTCTTCCCCTGAGCAAATGCATATGCTTAACACAGTGAGAAAGGTTAACGTGAAATGAAAATTTTGGGGTACTTTCTGAAACAGTTAGCTCAAATAAGGAACAAACTAGGAAAAAAAAAGAATTATTTTTAAAAATTATATGTAATATAATATTTATAAGTACAAATCAATAAAAATACTTTTAAGTATTTGTTCAGTATTTTTTCCTAAAATATTTTTTAGGTAGGAGCATATTTAAATAAAAAAAATCTCTCTCCAAATTCGTTGGAAAATTCAAACTGTGCTTACTACTGGACAGCTTGTGTTTATGTTTTCAGGACATTTTTCCTAAAGATTGGGATGTCAGAAGACAGCAGTTTCCAGTAAAATACCGTCAGTTTGCCTGGATGAATCAGATACTCACTGTATGCACAAGTCATCAACAAAGCACAGAATCACAGAATCATTRCCACAGATTYTCTTAARTCTTTGTTACACCTGCTTTAYGTTGCTAAGCAATAAATTGGAATTCTTAAAAATTGCAAAAATTACRATTCTAACAGATAAATTTCTGAGATAAGAACACTAACACAGAACAGGAATCACTGAACTAATGCCCTAATGGTAATCTAATGATATCCARGGAGGGTGTTCCCTATTGCCTCTTCTTGCTACAGGAGAGCCTACATAGCTCTTGAATACTGTARAACAGAGTGAAACAAGTAGCAGAATAATTAAAACCTTATCAGCTCTGAGGAGTAGTAACTCCTACTGCTGCTGTCAAACTTCCAATATGGTACAATCCAGCTAAGAGAAGATACACACACCAGTGAAAAGGAAAAAGCACAAATCCAGCATTAACAAGCAAGAGAAAAGGAAGTTAATCAGATTTCTGGATGTAGTAGAGCAAAGGGGAACTGCAGATCATGGGACAATAGGCTGAAAGTAGTGAAAGAAAAAGAAATCCTCAGGTCAGAGTTCAGCTGGTCTAAGTCAGCGTAGCCCCAGGGAAGTTACGCTCACTTAGGCCCGGGAGGAATCTGGCTCAGCAACCTGAAAAAAGAAAGGGAAAAACTGATAAACAAGAAAAGACTGGGATTGAGCAGAAATATATTTATATTTTCCTTCTTCTGTGGAGAGGGAAGAAAATTCTTGTCGATGGAGCTGAAAGGGTGGGAGAACGGACAACTAAGCAGGAAGACAGAAAGCTGGAAACACAAAGCATAGGAAACAAAAAGAAATTAACAGAATGGCAACTTTGCCAAGTGGGAAAGAAAGAATCTTAAAGACATCAAGAATGAGGTGGCAGAGAGGAAAAATTATGTGCTTAATTATGTGCTTTGACTTCCTATTGAGGTTACTGCTTCTCGTATATGCCCATCAGAAGCACTTTAATATTGTTCTTGTTTGTTGTCTAAACATTTTTATTCCTCTTACACTGCTAAATACTGTTAACTATAGATTAGGATTCCTGGAATATATACAGTTCTGGATCACTGCTACCATTTTTCCACTAGACAGACAGATTTTTTGAGGTGTGGCAATCTCTTCATCTCCYCATCATCACTGCAAGGTAAAAAATTTCTTTAGTCAATGGGCATTCTTGTAGCAAATATGGAGGGGGAGAGTGTGTGAACAGAAAGAATACCCAGAATATGATAAAAGTCCTTTAGCATTTAAAATGTGTCATCAGCTGGAATTATTTCTGTTGTTTCACATCTATACTAAAGTTATTAATTAGGTACTGTTCACAAGCCTCTACAAGCCTGTACAATATGCATTCACAGAGCCCTATAGCAAAAATGCATTTATGTACTATTTGTAGTCATTACCTAAACATGTGAGTCTACCTTACTGTATCCATTACTATATGAAGCAAACACCAGATACCAGACTGAAGATATTCTTTAACTGAGTTTGAAACCCAGTGACTGGAATACTTGTCTAGAAAGGACAGCCTTATTGCTATAATTCATGCACTTCAATCAATATCCATGGCACCCAGGGTATTTCTAGTTTGTTTGGTTTTTGTTTTAAACAACCACATGCCTGCATGGCAGGTTATACATTTGTGTTGTTTAAATGGTTTGCAGCTAACTTGCTTGGCCAGTCTTCCACCTATGTAGATTTTTCAATACAAGATGTACAAATGACTGGTACTAATTTATTTGTTTGCCCTCCCTTATGAAACAGGGAACATTTAGATTTATCAACCATAGAGCAAAGTTGCAAGCAGTACAGCTGGCCTGCCAAATACAAAKTTTTTTTAAATTTTGCTCCTTTTTTTGTGTCAACATTACATGGAAACCTTGTGAATCACAATGCTCATTTGGAATAGGAAAGCTGTCTTTGTCCAACCAAAATAAGACAGCATCCTGTGATGCAGCTGACTGTGCAGAAGACTAATGATCCTTTTCCCTCTTGTTTTGAACACAACTGCTACTCTGAAGCTGAACATGTTTTCCTTATGAAAACACAGTTATTGGCATGGGGCTRTGAAAAGTTACAGTTTTGAGTTTATACTTCTYATAATCCATAGTTCTCATACCAAAATAGTAATGAAAAATGGGCTCTCAAGGCTAAGTAATTCCTCTGGAGAGTGTGGAAACTGGAGATAATATACAAGTGATGACAGCAAATGTAATGTGCACATGTAACTGAACCTCGTTAACAAAAATAACACACTCCCAATTGCAAAATCCTGATTATAACACTCTAATACAACACATGAACATTTAAAACACTGCAGCTCCTCATACTGCATACATCCACATGCTACATTCACATAGATGTATGCAGATAAACAAATGTATTTGTACACACAGATTCTAACACTAACAAAGACACACAAATTGGCTGAAGTTTATAGGCAAGGAGCAAGGCAAATGRATACCCACAGGGGAGGACACTGTGTTATGCTGGACACAGCCTGTGTTGTCATTGCACTGTACTCACCATTTGCAGAAGATCAGAAGAAACCATCTGCATGCAACACATTGCTGTTGCCAGAGCACAGACAATGGTGGAGATGATATTGAGAGCGCACACACTGAACAACAGGTCCTGCAAAGAGACATCATCACAAGATCATCTCTTATCTCAGGGACACAAAGGACAGGAAATGCTTGAGGAAATTGATAACAAACACTGTCAACTGCCACCAATTAATAAGGTCTCAAATAACTGGGTAGAACTCATTTAGCTTGTAATATCTTTCGTGTAGCAAGCCACAAAAGCAGCAATTACAGAAACAAACATCTCCCCTTCCCCATTTCTCACAACACATTTGCTATTAGATATTTYCTCAGAAATACTGACAGAAATACTGATATGCAAATTTTCCAGTTCCCCAAAAAGACAAACAACTCTTTCACAGTGGACTCCAAGTTACAGCTATTGCAAGAAAGGTACCATGAAAGACACATCTGATTAAAAACAATGACAAGCACAAATATGATTGCTTTCAGGAGCTGAWATCTACAACTTCGGGTTGTATGTTAAAAAAATTGAATGGAAATTCTAGTATGAAATAGAGACTTACCCTGTGTCAGAAACTCTATGCATCTGAAATACTTTTATACATAGAGAAAAGCAGTGATTACACACCCAGGCATTTCACCTTCTACTGATGAACTGAATTCATATGGTTATACTGTTGGCTTGGATTTTTTTAAAGAAAAAGAAGTTTAAAACATAGAACACAAAATACTGATTTAACAAGTAGAAAAAAAGAAAAGCAACACTTGAATTAAAATAGAAACATTTTTATAGCAGTAGTGTCATTAAAAATAAAGCATCCATCTCTTCCAGTCACTGGATTTGTATTTACTTTCCCCACAGCCAGTGAAAAGAAACACTGATTTAATGTGCAGGTGACATTTCCAAACCACTACAATCCTTGTACAGCAACTGCATGGTTCTTGTGGCAGCTCCRTGGCTCAGTATTCTGAACAGACAGTAAAAGTATTTGAGAAAAAGCAGCAGAGAACAGATGAAAAACTAAATCAAAATTGCTACAACACCATGAGGAAAAAACACTCATTGTGTAAAGAACATTCCATAGGATCTCAATTTAAAAGAGTATTTCATTCACTGCCAGTGCATAACGTCCAWGCTGTAAATCGCTTTGTTTTTCCCCACAATGCCGAAAAAAAATGATAGAAAGGTGCAGATTTACTCCTCCACAGTAATTGCATGCTCCTCAAGTGACCTTCATCTGAAGATGGAAATGCCAGCCATGGGAACCAGGCAGACAATAAATGGGCCAACAASTTGTAGTCATTTAGCAAGTTACACTGAGCCAGATTTGCTCTTGCTGATCTGGTCAGTAGTTTTCTGCMTTCTTGGCCAGCCCCTCAGCCAGGGGAATCATGAATCATCAGCATCAACAGCAAAATACTGRAAGGGCCAAGCTCTAACTCACAGAAGGTGATACAGAGGACTCACCCAAAGAAAAAGTCACACAGACCCACTTAGAGCATGCAAATGGAGGTAACCAGGCAAACTGAACCCTGGGGAGTCAATTAGTTAACAGTGGCAATAAGAGAGATTGAGATACTGCATGTTCTGTTCTCCACATGCAAACATAGGTAAAGAACACCAAGGCACAGACAAGATCTAGGGTAGAAACAGGACAATTTCCTAGCAGCAAGAAGATTCATTCATTGCTTTAAATACATTTAAATACAAAAGAGTTAGCTAATCTGAGTGCATACTTACTAGCATTTACGTTAAGTAATAAAATCAAAGTTCTAAATTAGGATGCACAGTGTCTCCAAGAACCTCATACAACTTTACACACCTCAGGACAGACTTAACTGTGCCTCTAAGTCTCATGACAGATGTTCCTTKGATCTGTTCCTAAAGATGCCAGAGTTTCATTCCACTATTCCAATGTTTATTTTTACCATCGTGTCCTGGTTATGTCCATCCCACAGATGACACCCATGGCTTCTTTTCTGCCACAGCTTTCGAGAACAGGCTGTTACACAGCAGACTTTTATACTTTTGAACTCTATTATCACACTGGAAGCCTTTTCCACCTTTACTGCATGACATATTAACCCCATTTTCTCCAATCCTCAACTGAAATCAACTTGCTAGGCCTCTAATCATTTTCATTAATTTAATTTGTTTCACCTTACCTTCATCCACATTTTTCCTTTAAATGCAGAACAACTGAAGGCTGTGCAAACACTGACTATATGTGAGGGTTATTTCCAGTGCCTCGTGGGCCACATTCCTCCTCACCCATGCTGAGACTTTCCCTTGGCACAGAGGCACAGCCACACTCCGTTTGTTATTCAGCATTASRGTTTTGATGTGGGACCRGGATTACTGTCCACAGGAACAGCASCCTCTTTCCACACACTCCTGTCCAGGCTGAGCTCACAACAATTACTGCTCCTGCTATGATCTTTTTGAAGGTGAGGGTACARCAAGGAAATTTCAAGTGCAGTGATGCAGAGTCTTTATGTATTTTGTAAAGATCAGTGAAGAACAGACATCTATCAGCTAGAAAATGTGAAAAGGCAGCAAAGCTAAGCACAGAGATGGAAAATATTATAAGTTAAAATTTTATAAGTTATTTGTTAAAATTTTAACAAGACAGTAATAACTGAGCAATGATGTGCAGTGCTCACCATCACGAGTTATTTCTTAAAGCAATATTGTTTTTTTATTTGTTTTGGCTTTTTTATCCTAAGGTCTGTTTCAACTCAAACAGGAATCAACCCACAACCCACCCTTCTCCTCTGCTCTCCATCCTCCCCCCAAATTTTAATCAGCCTCAGGCAATTTACCATTTTAAGGAAATTCACTCCCTGTGCCCTGTAGGRAAAATAATTAGCTAATTCAGCGAATTATTTATTCAGCCACAGATAAAAAGTGAGCAGGAACTAAAATCCTCCGTGGCCAAACATGCTACCAGAAGGACAGGGGAGGTGCTTACAGACTGCAGCTGGACCAAACAAAATGACAATTAAGACGCCCTTTAGGAAATGTCTATGAAAATGCAGTAACCACAGTAGGGCCATTTGTAACTCTCCACAGCCCCCAGCCACAGACAGCTACATTTATAGGTGTCTAAAGGAGCAGGAAATCTATATTAAATAAAAACCAAGGAGCTTTAGTGACAGACTTTTAGTCGATGTCTACCAGAACGCTAATCAGAAAACACAACACGTGAATCTCTAAYGGTGTGAAATACAATTCTCTGCTCCCCAGAAATGGCTGAATCAATTTTCTCTTAGGCAGCATCTTTGTCTTTTTAAGACAAAAATCTGATTTTTCAGCATGTTTATATGATATGATCGGCATAATCATATGCTCTGATAGGTATAATGTACTAGGTAGAATTATTCTSCTACAGGTTAATATACAATTTTCTTGCTACACCTTAGCTCACTAACTGCAAAGGACACAAATCCCCTTCAGAGCAGACTCAGCTGTCAGAATTGCCTGGAACCATGCCTAGATCAATCCAGATACACACCCACAGGAGTCAGACAGCACTGTGAGCTGTTCCTCTGTGGCCATTTATTTTCCCAAGTAGGTCCCTCAGTAAATCTCCATAGGTGAATTAAAATGCAGTACTGATAGTGAAAAAAAGCAAGATTTCATAGTTGCAGTATTCAATTTCTATTACAATTACCAGATTAATTGCACCAGTACCTGCAGAACTGTTTAGGGTGCTTTCCCTCTATAGTAACAGATACCTGTGACTYGCACTGTGGTCCCAAAGGATACCTGTGCATTTTCAAACCTTMTTCACACTATAATAATTTTCCATATGTCTAACTTCAGGACAGAATATCTATTTTTTTCTTCTTCCTAATTCAAGCTGTTTTAACTATTCTTTTGACACTGTTTTTGTGCTGCTGYACCTCAGAGTTCTTCCTTTACCAGCAAAATTAAAACAATACATACATACATCAAAGTGCATGTTCTCTAAATATGTAGTTGAAAAGCCCACAGAATACATTAAAATAGGAGTCATATTACAAAGCCTGAGTATTTTTTAAAATCTGAATGTTTAATTGCAATATTTTGTATTATATATTTGTATTTTTGAATACCTTGTATTTTTGAATACCTTGTATTCAAAAAAAAGGAATTTTAGGATACAATTAATTGAGAACATCATATAAAAAACTCACACTGCAATATAATTAAAAAGCAATTTGTCCGAAAATCTGATTTACTTTGTTTTCCATCAAACTGCTGGGTGATAAAGCAGTCAGATGGTATCAAACTGGAATAAGTAAAAAATTGGTGAYTGTCACTTCAATAACTCAACTGTAGAAACAATCATTAAACAAAGCAATTTAGAACAGCTGTTAGCACATGCAATTACCTGACAGAAGCAAAGAGATGAGATAGAATCTAAAATGAAAAATGACAATGGCACGAATCCCATCAGCCCGTGATGGGAGCACTGGCAGAGCTGGGTCCATTTTAACTAAAGAACACTCACTGTATGGGTGCTCACCCTCCTGAAATTTAGTCCTTCAAAACCTAATTTGCACCTCCTATCACAGCATATATAAAGCAAAACTGGAATAGTGTCATTTTAGTGTCAYTTCACTCTAACCTGGGCCATACCCAGACAGTTCCTTAAGTTCAGAAACCAAACCTACAACTGAATTTGTCTCTGATATCTGTTGCCTTTCAAAACCATCAAAAACAGGAATGTCTGGACAGCTTCACAACTCAACTCAAATACAGACTTTGGTAAATATTTAGTCACTCTCGTGCTTCTTCTATCACAGCAATGAACTGCACTGTCAATTAAGTTACATGCACAAGCATCAAACCAGAGAATCTGACATTCAATACAGACCATATCACACAGATGAAGCACTGTTAACACAAAATATTCACTCTGTCAAGTACTATACTGAAAATTAATCAGCTGTGCTGCTCACACAGAATTGRGAAACTGCATTTAAACCTATTTTGCTCTAGAAGGCAATCCACTTCACTTTATGAGTTCCAGTCTGCTCAACAGAATTGAACTGGCAAGTCTCTTTACAACACACTCACATTTTGCTGGCTCAATAGATTAATTTCCTGTGGAAATAAAAGGTTTGTAGTCTTTGAGGTTCTTAAGTTCTTGGCACTTTTGACACTTTAGTCAATATACGATAAAAGAAGCAAAATCAGCTTGCTGATGTGTAAAAAGAACATTCTGTAAGCAGCAGCCCTGAACACACRGATCTAAACATCCCCTCCAATCAATGGCTAAAACAGCTCCATGGCTGCAATGCTGTGGAGATAATTCCTTTTCTCCTTGATTGACTTCAATTATGGTGCTTCATTTCTTATACTACTATATCCTTAAGAGACATCATGAGCAGTGAAGCTTTTTCACCCATGAAATTAGTGTCAATGTACCACTTTTATTCAAGAATTCAAGGACAACAATCCTTTTAACTTCAGYTGTTCTCCCTGGATACATCTGAAAAACACAGGGAAAAAATATCTGCTCTAATACAAGGAAGACTCAAGAATTAATTCTGAACCAAAAGAGTCTCAAATGCACATTGAATTGTAAATGGAGACATGGCCAACACTTCACTAAATAGACTTAAGGTTTGAAAGTACAATACAATTCACTATTTGACGTGCATCTGAAATATTAACAATATTTTTAAGAAGCAGTGGACGGCTGCTACTTAAAAACAAACTCAACAATGTCTTCTCTGCTTGTGTGCAGGTTTGCATAGCTTTGAGCTCAGGAGTGTGCATTAAATTCGATCCTGGGSATATGATAGCTAGAGACTCCTGAAAGACTCAGGTTTCATAAAATAACTGGACAAGGATGGAATAAACAGGTTCCAGTCATTCAAAGAGGCACCTTTTCAGCCATGAGAGAAGKTCACAAGCATATCCACTCATTGCCCAAGGACAAAAAAGCTCATGAGGAAGGAAAAGTGACTCAACTCTTCAGAGTAYGAAGCCCACCCTGAACCACTCTAATTCTGATGGACTCTGGTGTGGTAATGCACTCTGCATGTAGGGAATATTTTCAGCTGCCTGTGAAGGAATGTGAAACAAGTACAGCATTTAAAAATCTGATATGAAATTACTTACTCTGTGCTGAGTTTTATCCAATGCTAAGTAGCTTATGAAGTCTTTCAGGTAYATAATTCAGCTAAACTAATAATATTGCATTTGGTTTTAAAGCAAATCTGAGGAAAGGCTGTTCCCCTAATTCTAAAGAACGTGCTAGGAGCCATCTCCTCTGTTTTGCATGTGGAAGCATGGTCTTCTGAGTGAAAAAAAAATTAAACATATGAGTAGACGTGGTCATCAGGAAACTCTAACARTAAATTTGGATTGAAAGGAGGAAAGATTCACATAAAAGACTGCAAGAGCCCTGAGCTACCTAAATCTCTAATAGAGATSCCTAACTTACAATTAATGAATGGAATCAGAAACCTGAAAAAGCCATTTAATATGTATATATTATGCTTGAATTTTAGCAGCTCCAAACCAAATATTTATGCTGAAGGCAGAAGAGGGAATCGGCTTCTCGCCTTGCCTGGTAGTCATAAAACCATTCTACAGAGGCACCTTAAGTAGGAAGCAATTATTTAAATAACAAATGTATAAATTCACATACACGTCTGCAGGTATTCTGCACTGTGTAAGCTGTTAAAAAGAATTAAAAATACTCAACTGGCTCATTTTTAAACCRAAGCAGCATAACATTCTACTCTTATATGCAAGTATAAGTATCAGACAAGTATCAGACAGCAATAATGCATTATAAAATAATTCAAACTTTAAAATACATAACTTCATCCTCTCAAAATGTTCYATGTACATTTTTAGTAAGTTTAGAATACCCTAAGTTTAGAAAAAAAAGAAATCATTTTTACAGATGAAAGATATCAGTAATTAACTTTAATTAACATTACAAGAAAAACTCAGTTCCTTAAAATTCSTTCCACAAACCAACACACTTACTGTGGAAAACCAGATTAAGTTGATGTTACTKAAACTGCATCCTAAGTCCATCCCATCTGTGGCCATGATCTCATTTTTGGACACCTGATTCTTAATAAACCTTTTAAACTATTTTAATTAATTTTGTAAATAGGTAGGATTTGCTTGTGCCTTCATTTGRTTTTAATTAAGTCAAGTAACTTCCTAACATAGGACAGACCTATTGMAGAAGTGTGGTTATTGTAAAAATAAAATCAGGATACTGAGACACTGACATCCTTTAGGAGCACAGATTATTGACCCTGAATATCCAGAGGAAAGCAAGGAACYTTATTTTCAGGAGCAGTTTAGGAGCTACTAATGCAAGAAACTGTAAAAAACACATCTTCTAGTGAAAAACAAAACCAGGAAGTCTCTCCATATTAAAACAGGGCAGATGGATCAGATTTGGGTGCCTGCATATCTTAATGGCAGTTCATCACACCATGCCACTGTGCTGTTTTTACTGAGGTGTGCAGACAAAGCCACAAGTATTTCTTATAAATAAAACTCTAACCYCACCAATGCACCATCCTTGAACGGGCTGAGTCCCCATTAAAAGTGAAATAAAAGCAAAGCATTTTTGTCCGTTTTACTGTAACATATAATTTTGTGCTGAAATCCCACTGTTCAACTAATCTCAGAAATCAGCACTTAAAGAYCAGCCAGCATTTGCAACCACTGCTCAGATCTATAGATGTGTGTGTGTGTGACCACATATACTGCAGTGGCAATTTACGTGTCCCCATAAAAACATTTGAGTAGTTTATTCAGGGCTTGAAATGAAGAAAGAAGGAGAACTGATTCACAAAAAAAAAAAAAAAAAAGCACAAAGAGATGGTTCATAGCAGAAACAACAACAACAAACTTAGAGATTTTTCAAAGCAATTATAAAACCCCCACTCAATATCACACAAAGCACAGTTAGCGTTCACAAGACCAGTAGCCCCTCTGGTTTTCCTTGCCCTGTTTGACTGGCATTTTCTCTTTCTCTGGCTCCTCAAAAAATGAACACAATTGAGCTTTTGGGACTAAAMTATCGGTGTTTTTTTAAATTGCATTGTTAATTGCTAATTGTAATTAAAGAGGGTGAGCCTTATCACTGTCAGCTGTTACCTAATGAGCTGTGGCTTTTTTTCTTATGGGCTTAGTAAAATGCTGTTCTTAAATTTACAGCCAGGAATCAGAGCTAAGCCAAATAGAAAGCAAATGTAGAACTAAAATGGAAAAAGATGTAAAAATATTCCTGAAAAAGTTATTTTTCTAATTACCCTGTCTTAAATGAAAAGTTCGGAACATGATTAAAACTGCACTCAGATTATACTCCTGGGAACTGCTGTTTTTAAATCCATTCTCCTGTAGCATAACTGGATATGTCAATTCCCTTTATAAATGACTGAGTTATATCTTAAAAGAAATTGTATTTGTGTCTGGATTGTGATTGCTGTATTGGTTAGACACCTTATCTTGATTTTCAGCATATGTCACTTCTACTCACTTCATATGCTGACAGTGTCCTCCAAAGACAAACAGTTGTTTTCTCTCTCATTAAAGTTTACCTTACTGACATATTTACAGGAAGCAAACATATGCTCCCTCAATCTTTATTTTTATGGAATTAGCAAGTCAGCTTTTCCCGAATGACAAGTTCATGTTTCTGCATCTGTCACACTTTGAGCAATGTCCTTCTCACAAGTTACCTTGTAATACATTTCCCTGCAGTTTGCTGTTTTGACCAGCAATGTCAAATTATGTTTCTTTTCCACTTACTAAACTCCTGCTACCTAGTAAGTTTTTGCTCTGTTACATTTATCATCCTCATTAAACCCTGAGGCAGATTTGTTACTTAATTTTGGGGCCATAAAGTTTTAACTTTTACATGATCCTTATTACTTGGTGGTACCTTTTTTGCTTTTTCTTAACAAAGCTGAAGAACATTTAGGTATTTAYTACATACCTTGTACAGAATTTCTACCCATTCTGAATTTTAAAATAAAACTTTTATAGCTTTTTCAAGACCCACCCTATAATCTATCTCCTTAAGATCTTTCTCACAATGAATTACTACACTTCATTTTCTTTTAATTTTATTAAAACACATACTTTGAAATTGAGAGTCATAGATGAAGAGTTAGTTCTGTTGATGATTAAATGAAACCTAGAATGAAACAGTAGCTGCCTCCCAGGCCAGGGCTCTTTTTTCTGAGCAATTTTCAAAATAACATAGCTTCATGTCTTCCCATTTGGGGACAATGAAGTTAAGAAATGATGTCAGCAACTACACTGAGCTCTAACTCATACAATATTTTTAGTATTTGCTCTCAACTTTTTGTCTGGGTATTGTAACACAAAATGCCACAAGATTCGAACTCCTTACAGTGTTGCAGAGCAATTTATAAGCATGTTTCCAGCATTATCCAGAAAGAACACTTACCCTTCCCTCCCAAAGTGATGTCCAGCTGCCTTCATGTTAGAAATACTTCATCATTCTGCAACACTTTTTTGTTTCTTTGCAGTTTACCATAACATCAATAAACAACACCACCTCAGAACAGCAAAGTGAGAGTTACCTGTTCTTGCACCTCCCAACACAAGTCATACCAGTTTCAATTTCTGTTTCTTGAATAACCTCTGACAAAATAGTTACCATACCCATGCTGATACTGTCTTGCTAAGTTAAAACAGCAATAAACCCAATTCTCTCCCCACGCACCTTTAGGGTCAGCCTCACTGCATTGCATTCCTGCAGAGGGTTCAGTTTCAGTGTTTCTCCCAAGTTACTGCAGCCTGATGTTTGATGCTGCATTTCACAGCAAACACAGACACCATCACTGTCGAATTTAATCTGTGGAGAAAAGGAAAGGTCAGAAAAAGTATAAATCAACAGAAGCACACTTCCCAAAAAAATAATATTTACAGTTACAGGAGTGACTGCTAAAATGCAAAATTAAACTCTCTGTGCAGAACCCTTGGAGCAGAATGTTTTCCATTGGTTAATATAAGCTATAAAAACAGGTAAAATACAGAAGGAGGATTCATTATCAGAGTGCTATGTTTTATATCACTTTTTTGAAAAAAAAGTGCTTTCCCTGGGCATGTGAAACCAGAGTAACTCAACTAAATAAATATAAAATCATACCCAATGYGGGAAAACAAAAAATAATAGAAAAAGGCCAGAAAATATGTGAAGGAATCATGATCACAATTCAGTCCTTTATAAAGTAAAAATGGAAGCACAGTGGCTGAGTGGTGAGGTTTGAATCACCATGTTACTTACCCTTATGCATTAAAAAAACCCTGAAATTTCCAGACATCAATCCACAAAAAAATTCCTAATGCAAATATGCATTTGCTATTTTTAATTCAAATTCTCCCTAGGACATTGCCAATTTCCTGAACAAAATCAGGTAACAGCATTCCTYGTAGAATTATATTGCACAGCCTTATGCATAGAATCATTTCAACAGAATATCTGCTTACTGACTAGACTTCAAAGAACATTTAAACTGTTCATATGATCTCAAAAGTTCTATGTTTAAATATATGTATTTTTTAGTGCTGCCCCAATAATCCTATGTAGCAGTCTCTCCTTACATGCTGGTGACCAGGAGAACAGATGGAAGGGCAAAAATGAGAGTCAATTAAAAGAACATAATAAAGTTCTCCAGATGAGGCACAGATGACTGAATGCTTGCTTACCGTGATGAAAGCGTGCTCAGGGCAGGAGCCATCTCAGGGGATTTAATCTCCAGAGACTCCAGATTGCCCTCTAGCCAGCACAATTTGTAAAAGGCTTTGGAAAAAAGTGGGTATGTAAATTACACCATTTCCCATATTCTCAAAGGCAACACTGGAAATAATTGTCTATGGCAACTCACAGAGCCTGGTCATACCCTATGCTACAGACACGGCAAAGAAATAAAGAAAAAAAATAGTTTGCTTACCTCTATGATAGTTGTGGGTTTTATTTCTCATTAGCATACAATTTAACTCACAWAGCAGCTTTAACAATTTCAGAGTGGTTCTTTTCCAATTCCTGTAATGTTTTAATACTTTCCTTTAAATAGTGGAAGATCCAAGCAAAAGCCAACTAAATGGTTTCTGATCAGATGAGCTCAGCTCCTCAAGCCCATGTACAATCAAAGCACTGGYTGTCTCTGGGGAAGTGTTGCTCCAGAAGCTCTCCAGAAAGAGTTCAGCAATGGAGAAATGCTGAACTCACACTTTGAGTGCAGAGCTGTGCCAAGGCCAGGGGCCAGAAGGCTACAGCAGGCAAATCAATACACACTTCAGCTGCTGAAAAGTTTTTATAATGAGGAGAATGGATTTCAGACAAAGCTTTCTACTGCAATATCATCTATTCTGAATCTTCCTGCCCCCATTCAGTGAAAGACAGGCATTGACTCATGGTCTGTATCTGGCATTTCCATTATGAAATACTGACCCCAGGGCTACTTTTATCACGTATAATGAACAGGTGTCACAAAAATAAGGCTGAAAAGATTTGGTCAAGGTTCCCCATTTATCACAGATTCTTCATTCATGCTGAAATTTGTTCCATAACTTTGTACTGCCCAGTAGCTCTTCTTTTAATTTAATTATTTAAAATGAGTGAAAAGCTAATTGTTTACATAGAAGTTCTTGCAAAACACAGGGACACCTTAAAACTCAGAGCATATTTAAAACCACCTAAGATTCACTACCAGATTGAAAGCATATAATTTTTGGAGATTTATTACTGATTTGCCTTACCATGCACTCTTTCCTTCAATGTCTGTGAAATTACCTCTTTGCTAAGTTGWGTTTTTGTAATGGGGAGCAGGACAAAAGGCTGAAGGTGTCATTGCATTCATGTTCTCAACCATACAGCAGCTGAAAGCCCCCTGCTCCAGAACGCCCTTCCCTGCCCTGCTGCTGTCTCACCCTTGTGCAGRCACGAGAAGAGTTCATACAGCTGTTCTGCAACCTAAACAGTGCCAAAATTAACTTCTTTTCTTTTGGGGAGGAAGGAGGAGAAGTGGTTTATTTTTAGGTCAGATCACAGCTCAAACACCATTCTTTATGTGGCTTCATACACACAGACAGCAGCACTGACAAAAAGCTGTCATGGTACAGGAGGAGCTGGGATTGCTCCTTCCAGCAGCTGGGCTGGTGTTTGCCAACCTCACACACAATCACATTGCAGTGCCTCCAAAAGGGTCTGCGTTTAAATCTCTTTTTGGCTGTCAGAGCTCAAGAATAAAACATCATTCACTTCATCCCYACCATCTCATGTATATTTGTGTTCCACTTTGTGATTCTTACTCATGCTAGTCAGTAATCACAGCACAGTTTGCATACTTTCATATTTCTGACAGTTGCACGGTATACCTTCATCCAAACCATACTGAAGATTTTAAACTTCAGCCACAGCTGCCTATATGCATAAATTCCCTTGTAAGTTCATTTTATTTTGTCAAAAAGCAGCACTGTTACTTCAAATGTTACCTTTTTCATCTGTATTAACTCATCAAATTCTGTCAGYGCTGCTGAAAAGCTGCTTGTTTGCTTGTTTGGCTGCTGAGCCCACACATTCTCTCCAAAAAAGGTAAGTTAGGAATCAGTTAACACCGTTACTTTGCATTCTACCATCTCCGTATTACAAATGTAAGTCTTCTAGTAAAAGTATTAATAGATTTTACTTCTTCTAAATTAACCTACAGGATTTGTTATAGGGAACATCAAATAGGCAAGGAAAGATTTCAAAATGAAGTATGAAATTTCCAAAGTTGATGACAAGGCAGTGAGGAACAAGGAAGCCCTACTGGTGCACTTAYGGGAAGGAACTTCAGTCAATTCTAGTACTTTACACAAAGGGAAAGATGGGAGGATCCAGTAAGGATAAAGTTGCATTGTAGGGAAATACCAAGATTAAAAACTGACAGATGAATAAGAACAAAACCAAGAATATTCTTTTTCCTGGAATTTTAAAAATTGTTTTTCARTATGCACAGACCTGAGTGCAGCTCCAGTGCGAAATGGAATACAAATAAACCTCAGTTCTGGACCTGGGCTCTGCCATTCAGTTCTTTGGGAACCTGCACTTGCTCCRCTTTTCCTTGCTGTCTATTCCAGCTAAAGATAATTCAGGGCAAAGAAGAGTCTTCCTTTATGTGTTACTATAAGCATTGGCTAATTTCAGCTGTACATCCAAAAAAAAAAAAAAAGAAAAAAGTAATCTTTCAACAGAGAGGTTGACACTATCACTACTTTTTAATCATCTGTAAATTTGATTAAAACTACAGCATTTATTTTTAAATTAATAAGTGACTTACAAGATAGGTAGGCTCCATAAAGGCAAATATAGACAAAGAAATAAAATGTATTCTATACATAAGAGAATATAAATTAAAATATATTAATTGCTCTACCCATATATGTTAATCACAATTTTTAGAGATCCATTATTTGAAAAAGAAATTCCTRTACAGAAATGTTTCTCCTACGCACATTAATGAACAGCCTGAGTGTGTAACTGCTCTGTACACATCCTACTCTCATTGACTTAAAGCAGCTTCTTGAGATTTTGGCTACAGGATCTGCAGCTAATCATGGAAAAAAATTCTAATTAATTTTTCATAACAAGGCATTAAATCTACTGCCCTTTTTCCCCCTCAGTGTTGCATGTTGCTAAGCTGCACAAATACCAACTTCACAAATTACACATTCAAATGCTAACATATGGCAAGCACATTTCTCATATTCACACAAAAATACATATTATGGAAACTACAATAAATCCCCAGTGTTTAAAGCAAAATAAGACCACTGTGTCTCATTCTTTTTCTTCAAATAACCATTCTACATATGAAACACTGCTGAATTTAAACTCCATAATACAGTGGATACTGTTATAATTTTTATAACCATCCAYTCAGCATGAATGAGTTTGACAGAAATATCACAACTCAGAATTTATTTTGAATTTGACTTTTTTACTATTCTGTTCTCGGAGATTTACTGGTTCAGTTATATRGGATATTAACTGCATTTCAAACCACATGTCTGCAAAGGCTGGATTTTGACTCCTAGAGCTGCATCCCCATGGAGTACATTTGCATCCTAGGAGGCAAGTGCAGGGTTTAGATGTGACAATGCACACCAGTCACACAGTGCAGGATTGCATACATCTACATCTAAGGAATCAAAATTAACTRTACACTTTGAACAAGCTGTTAAGGAACTGAGATTTTTCCTTTTCAAGTGAAAAATGGTAATAATTAAATATGCTCAGCATAATACATCACCACCTTCTGAGTCAAGTTCTTCTGTGCTTAATCATAAAGCAGTGCTGTTCAYACAGTGCATCCCTCCCAGAGGGTGGTCTATGAGAACAGAGCTCCAGAATTCCAGAATTCCATATACATGAGCACCGCAACATGGCAATGCAATATGTTCATGTGCACGTCCCCAACCTGACTAAAATGGGATTTTGAGCAAGGAAAACCTAAAAAGCAAGGTCTGTGTAGAAGAAAGTGTTGGTTTTGGGGTTTGTTTTGAAACCATTACGATACGATAAACAGCCACAATAAAATTAAATTGCTCTTCAGAGTACACACTGAAAAGCTGCTTAGTATTTTATCATGCTCTGAAAATTGAAACTGCCATTTGAACACTTGTTACTTAAAAGCAAATATTTCAGCACGAATTTACTTTTGTAGACATCTTTGCAAGTTGAAGTCAGAAAATATGCTAGAATTCAATGTGTATGTATGTTTTTCCYGAGATAAAAACATGAAGGCTTTAGGTAAACTGTACCTACTAATAATTTAGAGCATGCCACATCATGATAATTTGTATTATTCTGTGTTTTATTTAACGCAACCTTCATTTACTTTGGAAATTCAAAAGAAAAACCACTCAGGCTGGAAATAAAACAGTAGCATACACGTACCAAAACATGGAGAATCCACTGCCTGTACAAGGAACTCTTGGAATCCTGATCCTGCTGCTATCAAGTGGGAACTACCACACTGCTCTGATGTGGCCTGCATTCCACCTATTCTGCTGAAGCATTATTTTTACCACGACATTAAGAGGCAAGTCCTTATGATATTAAAAGTTACTTTCTGAGGTGGCAAAACACAAAATTCATTAGCACTTAAACTTTTCCCAAAGAAGTTTACTCAGGTTGTAACACCTGTAGATTGCTCTACTAAATACACACTGTTTTGGCAATTAAAGAATATGTGTATAAAACCCTTACAAATGAAAACTAGAACCCTTGCCYTTGGTAAGAGACTTGTTTTCCATCACTCACCAACTGACATCCTTCCAGGGACCTCACCAGCTGAGCGTTCTGACAGGAGAGAATGGACCCGGCCAAGTTGAGCATCACACACACTGCAGAGAGCAGCATGAAAAAGGTTATCTGAAAAAAAAACCACAAGCAGCCTATTATTACTTACTTCAAGAGGTAAACAAAGAAAAATACAATTTAGATGTTCAAGAAMTTCCAGCCTGTCACACAATTACATGCATGGCAACATTTTATGTATTTTAGAGAGACTAGGGTACTTAATCTGACAACATCCTCGGTCCTGCACTATAAGARAAAGCTAAATCAAAACCAGACATGACTATTATGTGTTTTCCTCCAGCCRTTTCAAGATAATCCATTTATCTCCYACTTTTATCACACACTCTGAAAATTTAATGGGTTTTATTACCGAGCATTACTAAAAAGTAAGATTTGAAAAGTGTTTTATTATAAACAGATGTAGTCTTGAAACAAGTTAAATCCTTTTGATGGGGATACAGGTATCTTAAACATGAAAAGTATTTGTGAATAACACGTATAATGAGTTCCTACCAGTTGGGGGAAAARGGTGAATAAAATTCTGGATATATATAACTACATGGTTTTTAAACAACAATTACARTTTAGGCAGCATCCTCCATATCAACTACTCATCGTGTTAATTACTCCATTTTTCTCATCTMAAAATGTGTCACAACAATCATTAACTTGATTTCATCAGCTTAATTATAATTTTATTGCTTTAAACATAAAAACCTGGTCCAGTCTGGGCAGACAGAAATCTCAATATGTAGGGAATGGCATAAGCAGTAAGGGGCCAAGAACAAACATGTGCCCGATGTRTGGCCCCCTTAAATATTCAGTGTTGACATTGCCATAACTCAACAGGAGTATGAGTGTATGACATGAAATTATTAAGAAATTCTGTTGCGTCTCTTTTCCACATGCATGCTCACAGTTTACAGCCCTTCACTGTTCTCACAAGATGTTATCTTTTGTCAATGCATGTGCAATGAATATTTTTGACAACCTTAAACCCAAAATTACTGTATATTTTTTTCTAGTGCCCTTGGACAAAAAAACCCATAACCTCCACATTATTAACCAAAGGAAAGAAGGTGTGCTACAAATTTTAGTTGCCAGCTTCAGATTCTTCCAAGCATCACAGCTGACAACAAGGGCTGTAACCCACATCAGGTTTATCAGTCTCTGCAGTACTTTCTCCGTATCAGCAGTCATTAATGAAGAAACCTCTATTGGTGTTTCCAAGGTAACCTCTTCCTCTTGTCACTGGCAAAGACAAGGGGGAAGGACCGAGCACTGTCAAAATCATGAAAACAGGCTCTTAGAATTCCTGTTCAACTCGGTGGGTCTGAGCCTCACCTTCTGTTTAGAGGCTGCATTTCAAAGGGGCAGCCATCGCATGATATCAAACACTCAAGTTCTCTGTCAAACCTGTCTTCCCAATTTTGCTGGTTTATGYCTCACTTCTCAACGTCCCAGGCAAGGAGCTACCTTGTCTGGACATGGAGCTACAGGGGAAAAAAACACATCCTTTACATGTCTTTTGAAACTATTTTGCCTCTTGCAGAGCAGAAAAATCCTAATAAAGAGAAYTGAAGTATTTCCAATCTCCTTCCTTAATGCTTCTCAGCTAAATGCCAACAAAAGCCTTCTACTGATGGAGTAGAACACACCTGGTGTTCTGTTATCACAACTTCAGAGGTGAATTTTACCACCATGCTGGAAGCCACAACAGAGAAAAGGAGACATAAAAGTATCAATCACCAGATTTACAGGCATTAAAAAAGTATGCTCAGTAGTTTAATATTTTTAAAAAGTTTTTTTTTATTTTTTATCACAAATCAGTCTTTTCTAACACTTGCAAAGGTACAGCAGTAAAAATAAACACATCTGCAACTTTTTGAAAGAGTGGCCACCGTGGATTATGATGAAGAGCCAACCCCAACCCTACACTATGAAACACTGTAGATGAAGTTAGACGTACATTATTTATGAAGTCAAATATGCCTAATTTCAACATTAAAATTTTCCCCAGAGAGCTATCAAATAGTTGCTTTGAGAGTTCAGTATGACATACTTGCAGGAGCAGCATGAAGCTGTAAGGAAAGAGTATAAGAYACAGTTAACCCTGTGATCAAGGGCAAGAACTTCCACTGAACTAAACACAGAACTGTCAGATATTGAAGGGCAATGACATTTTAATGCTGGTTTAAAATTACAATATTATGTTCTTCACCTTTTATAGTTGCAACATATAAACGAGATGAAATATTCCCAGAAATCAGGAAGAAGCATGAATACCACTAAGCTCTAAAAGCCACCAAGAACTTAAACATGAACCTAAAGCAAAGCCAACGGRTTTATTATGACATGATGGCAGCAGAAGTAACCAGACAAGTCAAAGCTTTTATTCTATACAAAGAACTCGATATAGGAAACGTTAATAGGACTTCCTACTTAAATCKTACCATGGCCCTAAACTAATTCTACAAAACTAAACAGCTCGGGTACAATAATTACATAATACAAATGATATAACAACTCTCTATTTGAGATGTCATCTTGCACCTGGAATYAGAAACTAGTTTAATTCTCTAGTGGGACTAGGCTGTACTGGTCCCGTGCTATGGCAGAAGACCTAGAGATGAAGTCCAGGAAATAAGAAAGGGCAGATCCTCACCAAGCTCCCCCTTTTAGTCAATTTTTGGCAACTATTTAAGTATAAATATGCAGAGTATATCAAGACTGAGTTTGCATCTTTGTAGTCCCAACAGACCACAGCCTGCAAATCGGCACAGAATGAAACAATCAGTACCCCCATGCCTTTGCAAGGGWGAGCCCAGAATAAGTGTCCTTCCACACTGAAAGAAAAAAATAAATATTTAAGCCCTAACCCTAACAGGTTATATTATCTTTCCACTATAAAGGAAGTTGTTTGTAGTTCTCTCTTCCGCACAACTTGATCCTTTAGAAAATTATTAGCATTCCCAGATTATTTGTGAGCATTTTTTCACGCACTTTTCTTAAATGTAGATAAAACCATACACCTGCCTTCAGAATGTCCCAAGGTAGATCATCTTAATTTTATGGATAGCATCAAAAAAATCAAAGGTATTTACGGAAGTGGATATATTCTCCACCCTCAATTCTTTTTCATCACTTTCAGTTTTGCCTCTTAATATTTCTCTTTTCTTCACAACTGGCCTGAAGTAATTTATTCTCTTTTGTTTTTATCATAAGCTTTAGACTTCCTTTYATCTTATTTCCCAAAGGCACTGTTAAAACTGTATTACCGGAAAAACTGAAATCTTTAATCCTTAAGACAGCTGGCTCACAGCACCTTCTTGCCCTTACTCTTACTGTGTCCTTCACAATTTGTTCTTGAATTGATAGGAGGTAAAAAGGGGAAAAACAAATGAACCAACTTTAGTGCACTCTGCAGTTCATGATTTGCAACAGAAGACATTAACAATTTAGATTTTCTTTCAATATACAGCTATCTACCAAAAAAATGCAGTGAGAGCATCTCTGAGGAGGAGGACTTGGGGGTGTTGGTGGTTGAGAAGCACAACATGACCTGACAATGTGTGTTTGCAGCCCAGAAAGCCAACTGTGCCCTGGGCTGCATCACAACAGCGTGGCCAGCAGGTTRAGGGAGGGGATTCTCCCCCTCTGCTCCACTCTCATGAGAAACAGGGAGTGCTGTGCCCAGCTCTGGGGCTCCCAGCACAGGAAGGATGGGGACCTGGCCAGAGTGCTGGGATATCTCTGCTATGGAGACAGACTGGGAGAGCTGGGGCTGTTCAGCCTGGAGAGGAGAAGGCTCCAGGGAGACCTTAGAGCACCTTCCAATGCCTGCAAGAGAACTGGAAAGGGACTTCAGAAAAGGGCAAGTGGTGACASAACAAGGGGGAATGGATTCAAACTGAMAGAGAACAGGTTTAGGTCAGACATTTAGAAGAAATTCATCCCTGTGAGGGTGATGAGGCYGCAGATTYGGTTGCCCAGAGAAGCTGTGGCCGTCCCATCCCTRGAAGTGTCCCAGGCCAGGCTGGGGGGATCTCTGAGCAATCTGGGATAGTGGAAGGTGTCCCTACTCAYGGCAGGGGTGGAACAAGATGACCTTTAAGGTCCCTCCCAACTCAACCCATTCCTTGATTCTATGACTTCCTTTCCACAAATTATATCAAACCCTGCTTTTTGACAATMCTTTTGACGGTGATTCTTCCAGTGACCCAAACCACCCACTCACTGCTGCATATATACACACCAAGAGCACAGTAAAAAAGAATAGCACATATTAAATACAGTTTGAAGAATGACTTACTGCTACAAATAAAAAGAAGTTTTTACATGCAAAATAATTAAAGTCCTCCAAAAATTATATAAATATTGTATCACATGAAACCATATTTCGAAAAGTAACCTTTTATTTCATTCCTTACATTTTCATTTTGGAGATGTATATGAAACAGKATTGCTCATTCATTGCTGGCATTTCAACCACTCCTTCCCTGGTGGTTTTCAGTGGTTTGATAGTCAAGACATGAACACTTAGACAAAACGTTACYCTCTGTGCTGATGAAACATATTACTCAACTCTCCTGTGCATAAAACCAACCACTCCTATGGTAAGCTGGCTTCTRTAAACCTGCCAGTCCTCTGTACCTGAAATATCGTGTCTACGTGTTTTTTCCTGCTAATTCGTCTCCTGCAGCTCCCACAAGGTCAGAAAATCATCCTTGAATGAACCTCGTTTGACATTGAAATCATTTGTAGAAAGCAATTTTTTGGAGACACAGTAGTTAGACAGGAGACACTACAGGCTTCTTTCCAATCACATTAAATATGCATGCATATATTCAATGGGATTTAAAATTTATATCTTTTAACACATGCATTTATCATTTGTGAAGCAGCAAGAATAGCCAGAGGTGAATGTGCTTGTCTCTGTAAACCACTGTATAAGTAGATTAAAAACTTGCCATGAGGTATTTTGCTCACAGAACTTTGTCTTACAYAGACTACAGACAGTAACATTTATTATCGTTTGTGCTACAGGATTTATAGTTTCCCTGACAGAAATG